TTCTCCCATCTCTAAAAAACAGTATCGACAATCCTATTCAAAATGATCAACCCGAGTATTGAGCAGACTGTAGAAGATATAATGACAATTCTCACCGAATCATCCCATTCGTCTTTTGACGTTGCATCTGATGAATCATTTCCACAACAACAACAACATTGTCGAATTCTACGACGACTTTCAATCACAGTTAAAATTACCCACCAAAATATAATTTGTACAAAAAATATAATAAATTGTGCACCAACACCAGGTCTATTAATTGACATTAATGAATCATTTACAGATAATTTAGTACCTATTAATGAATTGTATATAGATATACATTCGATAGTTTCATGTAATTGTATATTAGAAAGAGCCTGTTTTAAATTAACTGTTGGAAGTAAAATAGCAAAAATTGAACGAATAATAGACACTATTGTATAGGCTTTGGTAGGACCTGCTGATGGTGTATCATTTTTAACGAAAGCAGTAAAAGAATTAGTAACTGAATCAATAATACATATAATAATATTTATAATAAAAAAATTTGTAAAACCCATAATTGATGAATTTGGAATAAATGAAAATACATAGGCGAATGGTAATGATGCTAATGTATACATTAGAAACATTAGGAAAAAATAACCTGTTACTGATGAATTTTGATACACACGAACTTCAGCATCACTTTTTGGATTTGCTACAGCACCAATCTATATTAAAAAAATATATATATACATATAACTATGTGAAACAAAAAACATGATGTTTTCTTCTTTTCCTTCTTCTCCTTTTTACATACTTTAACAATAATAGTTAAAAGTGAAATAAGAATTAAACATAATGAAAAATCAAAAATCCAATTTGAAAACCAATATATTCGTTTTTTTAAATTAGTTAATAATTGAAGATCTTTAGAATGACTTATACGTTCTGTTATTAATGGTAATAAAAGTATACCGATAAATATTGTTGCTATAACACTATTTAAAAAACTAAATAATGATATTGGAAATATTTCAAAACAATAAATAACAGATATAACTTCAGCAAGATAAGATACAGATTTTGGATATGTTATTATTGGTTGATTTATTGTAACGATACTTTTTGATGATGAATTAGCATAAAATTGATAAAGATTTGTTGCTGCAACACCTAAACTTGTTGGCATTGTATGAAAATTAACTGTTGAAAAATAAGCATTCATTCTTAATGATGGCGATAATGATGTTCCATTATTATATGCTGCAAAACTTAATTGATATTTATTTATAAATATATCAGCAGATTGATAATATCTTTCTCTAACATAATTAAATACATTGTCATCAGAAATATTATCAATAGTAGCGCCTGTACTTGTTAAATAATTTATAAGACGTGTTTGAATATCATTTGCATTATTATTTGCATATGCAACTATTGTTTGTGGATTATAAATCGATGGAATTAATGTTACTTGAGCATCAACAACACGTGGATTATTTGAAAGTGATCTTTGAATTTCTCTTGGTGTTGGTACAGCAGAAACAAAAAGTATTTCAGCTATTATTGAAAGTAGAAAAAAGCCTAAAAATAAACTAATCTGTCGACGAGAAATATGCCATCGTTTAATTAATAATGCCCATACACGTGTCCAAAATAGATGACAACCTTTAATACGTTGATATTGTTTACGAAAAACTATAAACAAAAAAAACCAAAAATATATATTCGTATTTTTGTTTTATGTAATATAAAAATTCGATTACTTTGATCATCTAATTGACGTTTTGTATTATGTTGAGTTTGTTCATTTTCATTTTCTTCTTCAACTAATCTAAATATTTTACAAAAAAAAACAAAATTAATATGATTGACTTCTTTTTTTTTTGTTTATTTACCGAAGAAAAACATCTTCAATAGTTGTCATTGATAAACCATAAGAATTAATACCAATTGTTTCTTTATTTTGATCAAGTGCATTAATTAATCTTTCAATTTGTTTTGATTCACCACGTTTTATTCCATAAACAAGTTCAGCAGCTGATTCACGTTCTAAAACAATATTACCAACATGTTGTTGTATAAATTGTGTAATACCATCACTAGAATATTGTTCTTGTTTATCCATTAATAATCGATATTCACAATCTAAAAAATAAAAATAAAATTTCAATTTATAAATTTTTTGTTTTTGTTTATTTAACCTGTTTGTTGTTTAAGAAAATCTGGTGTTCCATTAGCTTGTAATCGACCTCTACTCATAATAGCTATACGATCAGATAAAACATCAGCTTCTTCAAGAAAATGTGTTGTTAATAATACACATTTTCCTGTTAATTTTAATTTTCTTATAATAGTCCAAATAAGACGACGATTATAAGGATCTTTAAATAGAAAAAAAGATATCTATAGTTTTTATTCTTGATACAAAAAAAAAAAGAAATTCTTACCAATGCCACTAGTTGGTTCATCAAGAATAACAACCTAAAAATAATAATAAAAAAAAAAAGTAGTAATAAAATTAATATGATTATAATCAATAAACTTTTGGATTATTCATTAAAGATATTCCAATTGATAATCGACGTTTCATTCCACCTGATAAATTTTTTGATAATGTTTTTCGATCATTAGTTAATCCAATTAAATTAAGAATAGTTTCAATCGATTCTTTGATTGATTGTTTTTCCATATGACGCATCTAAAATAAATATGATAACAAATATTCAAAAACATCGAACGAATATTCCTAATTGTAGCGAAAGTTTCAAATTTCTTCTTTAATATCACATGTATTGTCTATCGATTCAGAAAAAAATCATCCAGTTATGAACGATAGAATGAAGTCGATTGATAACGCTCTAATAAAGTGTAATGTTCTCAATAAGAGCATTAATGTAAAAATTGCCCCAAATTAGAGCGCACTAATGTACATGCATAGAACAACGTTTTTCTATGGATGTATACTGGTGCTCTCTAGTTTGGGACAACTTTTACATTAACGGTCTTATTGAGAACATTGGATTTTATTAGAGTGTTATCAATCGACTTCATTCTATCGCTGATAACTGGATGGTTTTTTTCTGAATCGGTAGACTTGTTCACTGTTTCGCTGGAATATTAAAGAAGAAATTTAAAACTTCCGCTACAATTAGAAACACTCGCTCTATCAATCATACTTGACCAATTAATTCTAAATGTTCTTGAACAGATAATTCATTATAAAGAATGTCTAAATAAGAAAAAGAAAGTTTGTTTTTATTTCAAGAATTTCTATCTATTACCATATTGTGGACAAAAACCAAGATAATGTCGAACTTGTTCAATGTGTATTTGATTATCCATTCCTTGTATAGTTACATGACCAGATGTAGGTTTCAACATTCCTTAGAAAAAGAAGAAAAACAAAACAAAATAATTTTCATTCAATTGAAATTTTCAATTAATATTAACATACCAACAAGAATAAATGTTGTAGTTGTTTTTCCTGCACCATTATGTCCTAATAATGTACATACTTCACCGGAATAAAAATTAAGTGAAAGATCTGAAACAGCTTGAAATTTTTCAAATGTCTAAACAAACGAATGAACCAAAAAAAGAAAGTCATAGATATTAATGATAGAAAAAAAGAAAAAATGTCTACTTTAGTTAAATGATTTATTGTCATTGTTGGTTTTTTGTCATTCTCAATACTATTTAATTCAATCCAATGATTTTCATTCGATATACCATTATTATTGATTTTACTAAAATTATTATTTTCAATACCAATTGGTCGCACTGTTGATGATTTCCAATACGATTTTTTAAATAAATAATTCCATGGTTGTGAAATACCAAATTCACCAGGATTGATATGTTCAAGATAAATAGCAAGAAACATAAAGAGAATAGAATAGATTAACATAAGTAAAAGACAAAGACCAATATATAATCGATATTCAAATATATTTGAATAGAGTTCTCCATATGTGACCATACCACCTTTAGAAGATAATTAAATATTTTCTTTTTATTTTCTCCTATAATCGACTTACTACTTCGACGTTCATATTGTTCCATAACTTGTAGACAAAATAAAAGACCAATATTTGGAAATAAACATAGAATATATCGAACAGCAAGTGGTGTACGAGAATAATAATCGATAAATGTTAAAATCCAAATAGTCAAACCAATTAATTTTGCTAATAAAGCTAAAACAAAATTTTTGATTTGTTTATTTTTTTTTAATTTAAATAAAAATATAAGATAATAAAATGTTTTACTTCGTTTAAAAAATTGTCCAAAAAAAATAGCAAATGTCGATACTTGAATTGAATAAACAAATAAAACTGTCCAAAGTATTGTCCAATGTGTATAATTAAAAATAGCTTTACTAACACTATTCCATTGACCAGTTGAACTTTGAAGTACAACTTTACTTAATCCAGTTGAAACACCAGTTAATATGAAATAAATAAACATTGATCGTGTTAGCCAAACTAGATTATTTACCCATGTACGAAGACCAAAGATTCGTAAATATTCCTAATAAATTTTTTTTAATAAGATTTTAGTTTTTCATATCCAAAATATATATCATTCAATTTAACCCCTGTTGCAAATGTCTTTAGATAGAATGTTTATTCATTTTTCAGTCGCCTAAACGTCATTAGTGAGAATCAAAAGTAGTTAGCTAAAATCAGATTTTTATGTTCTTTCCGAATATCTGATTAGAATATTTCTCTGACTTAACATTGATTAGAAATGGGCCAAATCTTTGACAGAATGAAAAATGATGTCTATACAAAAAGTCATTCTGCAAATGTTTGTTCATCTTTCAGCCGCTAAAAGTATTTGATACGAACCAAAAGTAGCTCCTTATAGTCAGTCTTATCTGCTCTTCTTTGATATGTGTTCAGAATATCTCTTTGACTTAAGATTGGTTAGCTGTAAGTTAATACTTGAAAGAGGCGAAGAATGACATCTCGACGAAGAAAACACATGTTTTCCCGCTATTCATTACTTATGTAAGTTGGATTTTGAAGCAGTTCGAAATTGGCAATTTGTAGAGCATTCAATTCTCTATAAAATCATATATGACAATAGACTTCAACTCAAATGAATAAAAGGTTGTAGACGTTTTTCTGAGAACTGATTGATACGTAAAATAAAATCCTGCCAAAAAGTCAGCTTTCCAAGATCTTCTATTTATAATACAACAGATTGCATGTATTTGTTTCGAGATGGAAAACCAAACTAAATAGCATAGTTTGTAGAGCAAACTTCGCTCTATAAAATTGGCTGATGAAAATATCTTTCATGTTTTGCGTAGAGTAGATATCGATCAAAACACTAAAATACATCCAATAAAATTCTGTACAAACATCATTTTCGACTCTGTCAAACATTTGACTTATCCATAATCAATATTGAGTCAGTGAAATATTCTGATCAGATATTCGAAAAGAGCACAAAAATCTGATTTTAGCTAACTACTTTTGATTCTCACTAATGACGTTTAGGCGGCTGAAAAATGAATAAACATTTTCTCTAAAGACTTTTGCAACAGGGGTTATTTCTCTATTATGACAAGTAAATTAATTTTTACTCCAATATCAATTCTTGCTAGGGGGTCCGTCTGATTATTTCCGGATCCGACAGATTCTTATTAGATTTAAATTTAAAACAAAAATGAACTAATATATATATAAACAAAGTAAAATCGTCATTGAAAATTTTGTACGCTACTCTTCTTCAATAGAAATTTATTGAGGTAATGATTCACATTTCATGCATAGATAAGATCTTTCCACTTCTTTAACATTCATATGACATATTTTTATCAACAAAACAAACCAAGCGTAAACAGAAAATAAATTTGCAATTTTTTAATTACGTATGTTACAAAAAAAAAATATGGAAAACTTTTCATGGTTATTGTATGTTTCATTAATAAAATGTACAAATAAAAATTATGCTTTTTATTGATTAGATTGTTTTTTTTTTACGTTCTTCTTCTTTCTCAAGCCATATAGTTTATGAATATATGATTAAAAACAAACAATCTACCTTTTGTGACAGAGTATAATACCTTTCACCGGCTAATTAAAAAGAAAAATTATTGAAGAGATTTTAAAACGATAATATTAAAAAAGATAACATTTTCGAATTCGAGATCTATCTCAATAGAATAAATTCATATAAATAGCTTTATCCTTTTTTTTTTGCACTTAAAGACTGCATATTTTTTTTCCAAGAAAAAATAAATACGACTTAAATCTCAAGCAAATATTTGAAATTTATAACTATCTCTAATTTCATGATCAAATATCTTTCATTCGATTATATCGGACGTCCATAACACTCGTATTTCCGAAAATGATATTCATTTCAAACTAAAGCATTATCTACTATATATAACGAGTTGAAAAAATAATCTCCCTACTAATTTTCTCATAGGCAGTATCCGATGGCACATTTCTTATGACTATTAAAAATATAGAGAAAAATTTCCTAACTCTTTCTCTTCAGCAGGGATATGGCGAAGAGAAAAAAAACGAGACGTTTAAGAAAATCTTTTGAGATCTGAAAAGGTGTATATACAATTTTTTAAAAGTAGAGCGGAAATTACACATCCCTGCCCTACATGATAGGGTAGAGTAATTCTGCATATCTCTTACATATACTGAGTTTAGCTTCTGAAGTTAAACATTTTCTATATTTTTTTTAATCTTACATTGCTACATAGATAAATGCTTGCTTGACATTCATCTTTCTTGATGACTGAGTGAACTTAGTATTTCGTCGTCTGAGAAAGATTTTTTTATAAATGATAGAATAGATAAAAACATTTCAATGTTGACATATGAAATTGTGATAGTTGATAAAACGAAAAAAAAACAAAATGACCATTACCGACGTATGAAGTCTATGTTTTTTATTTTTGTAGGAATTGTACATGTTTCTAAAAAATATCTCCAAAATCTAAGTTTAGCATCAATATCAAAACCGTAACATAGTTGTTCTACCTTTATAGCACACTGAAAAAAATGTTTACTTTAATCGTACATATTTTACAATGATTTCTGAGAGTTTTTATTCTATCATAATATTTTTTAGACTTCGAAAAAATTTTTTCAATATCTTATAATTTCCTGCTTCCATTAATCGAAAATAACATTAAATTAGAAGCAGATAATATATTTTCATTTCATTATTTGACGGAGTTAAACAAACTGTTATTTATGACCTTTTTTTCCTCTCTCTACAACAAAATCGCTCTTTTTTCTTTCCATGTTATATAACGAGAAGCAAACTGTTAAAACAAAAAAACACGAGAACAGAAAAAGAACAAAAACTGAGGTCATATAGCTACTTTGTCTTTCATATACTTCCGAGTTTTTTTTTTTTTTTGCGAGATTTTTATTACTCTCTATAAAACTGTCATATTTCATTTTTACCTTTGTTTTATTTGCACGTTCTTCGACAATATATCCAACATTCAATATAAATGTTACGACATAGATAATAGAATAAAATAATGGAACAAAGAAATTAAAACCAGAATGAAGTTGATCCAAATAAACTTCAGGACAACCAAAATGATACATATAAATCTAAATGATAATTTTTAATAAAAGATGAGATAAAAACATTACAAAAAAAAAAGAAAGAAATGAACTAACACTTGATATACTCTGATTAATATTTGTTGCATATTGAATAATTGATAAATCAATAAAATATTGAACACCTAAAAATTGAGTTGTATAATTAAGTGATGTTCTATTATCTAAAAATAAAACAAAGACAATTATTAAAAAATTCTTAATTTCTATAAAATACCTTGACAATAATCTTCTGGTGAACGTTTCCATAAATAATCACTTTCAGAAAGTTTAACCTGTTGAGCACGATAATATGTTAAACCATTTCTATATTCAAACGTAAAAAAAAAGTCAAAAAAAAAAAAATCAATAAGAAATTAAAATCATACTCTTGCATTCGTAATGTATATTGAACTTGATCTGGTATTAAAGCAGAATTATTACATGATGCATCAATATTAGTAAAATAAATATATGCAAAAATTGTTTCCAATGTTGAATTTGATAAAGATGATAAGGTTGGATCCGAAATTGCTTGAACTTAAATATTTTATATTTTATATTAATCAATTTTAATACAAAACTTTTAACATATTTTCATTGACAATAGAAATCATGTTCAAGTGACCAGAAGTTAATTATACTGAAGACTTCCTTTTTTTCTTTTTTTCTTTTAATAATCATCATGTTTTTTTTTTCTCTTAAAAACGGAACTACTCAAGTTTAGCTTGTCGGAAATTTATTCATGAAAATATGTAACTAGCTGTATCTTTCTTTTCTGTATATTCGAATCCAATGAAATACAATAATAATTCTATAAATATACCGTTGCTAGTAAAACCGGGAACATTTTGTGTTAGACTATCAACAGCATTTCTTACAATTGTATCCGTACATAGACTATCTATATATAAATATAATTGAAATGTTTAAAATAAATAATAATAATAATACAAACTTACAGGGATAATAATATGTTACATTAGCAGTCGTACTATTACTTAACATTGAATCATGTGGACGGAATGGTGTTATTTGTCGTGCTTGATAATAGTTACGATCGAGAAGGTATCGCATACCAAGTAGAAGAGCCAAAAATACATATGCAAGAAGAAATTCTGCTATAGTTTGACCACGTTTACGCTTTGTTAAGAGAAGCATTTTAATAAGAAGAGCCCAATATTCACCAAGAAATTTCATACATCCTGCATGCCGTTTTGGACCTTCTAGTGAATCCATGATTGTTAAATGTCTATCTAGAAAATGCAAAACAACATTTTTTATATATTTTTCTTCAAAAAAAAAAAAAAATGTTCTCAAAGCATCTGAGCTTAGTATTTTTCTGGTTACACAATCAATTGCATTATGCTCCTTTTTTTTTCTTTTTCATTCCTGTTCATTTTTTTGAGACAGACAAAAGTACTCATGTTAATCACATTTGTGTGCAAAAATATGAATAACACTTGCCATCAAAAAGGAAGAAACAAGAAGAAAAAAAAAACTCAGTTCGTCGAATGAAGGCAAAATAATTTTTATTGACATCGTGGTTTTTTTTTGTTACAAAATAAATTAACTATATTACTATTCATCTAAAGTAATATAACTTACTAATTTTGATAAATTTTCAATACTACTAATTGTTTTGGATTTTCTCTAATATAGAAATCAATTATTTAATATAAAAGAGTGAGTTTAAAAAACAAAAAAAAAAAAGAAAATCAATCAACCATAAGTGATATTGTTAAATATTTACTTGGCTTCATTTCTTTTTTTTTTTTTTCTATGATTATTTTTTAATGTGAAGAGAATGAAAAACAAAAGTAATAGAAAAAGTGTCGCAAACAGTATAGATACTATTTGTAAAATTATGTAATGTTCAATGGAAACTAGAGATCAGCAGAATTAAACTTTTTTAGAATCCAAATTCGTCGAAGTTTCATGTAGTTCTTTAATAGAAATGAAAAGAGATTTTGTTATTCAATATTTCATTTATTGATAATCTGATGTAATTTTTGTTTGTTTTTTTTTTCATAATAAAGAAAATCATCTTCGTTTCTATTAAGAAAACATAGCACGTGCCTACTTGTTTTTTACTAGGCGGGTGTGTTCTCACCTGTTCGTAATATAATAGCATAACTTTATATATCAGTTCTTTATATTGTCATCTTTTTTGCTTTTAATATCTTTTAAAAGAAATCAGTTACTGAAGATTCTTATGGATTAAATTGAGTATTTCACATTTCTATGATTTTCATATATTTAAAGTGGTGATAAATATTGCCACCCTCGTCCAGTATAAAAGATCATCTATAAGACGAATTTTATAGGGTGTAATAGTTAACTATGGGTTTTTTAAAAACACTTGATATAAATACATTTTTGGTTATTCATACTATTCTCATTCGTTTTAAATATGTTTTAATTATAGAGAATATCAGTTTTCAACTTGACGTATGCAAGGTAATCAAGTGACTTAAAGTTTGTATTTGTCATTGAATTCTGATTGTATTTGATGTAATGATAAATATAGTCACATTAATGTTTATGCCATTGATTGAATTCAATCAATCTGAAGTAGATATTAGCATTTGTACTATTTATGCTTATGACAATGGATCACTTCTGTGCTACATACTTCTTTTATTTTTCAATCTTTTAAAATTTCTTTATTTTTCTATATTGCAATGAATAATTGTCTGTAGCAGTATAAGATTATGTGTTAACATTATTAAAAAAAAGACTCTAGTGATACTTATACATCAATATTAAAAACTTTATTTTAATTCACAAATGTATTAAACAGTATTAATTTACACCAGTATCAACTCTAGTGTAACATCCTAATCGTCCAAGAATGAAATTCTAATCATCATCTAATTCTGATACGACGAACTCCCAGCGAAACTCAATTTGATTCGATCTCTAGTAGATATTTTATATAGAATATTTGGAAAACAAAAATGAAATTTGTTTTTGTTTTCTATTTGTTTGTCAATGCATTAGTATGAAAGTGATTTAACAGTCGAAGAATGAGCGAGAAAAGGTAATTGAGTAGTATATGTAACAGCTTGTTTTGAAATAAACTCAACAAAAAAAAAACAACCTGATAAAAGATCATTTAATCTGCAATTTGTTTTACTAATTTCTCGTGTTTGATCATTAAGTTTTCAAAATGAATTTAACTCATTTGCATAATTAACTTTATCTATGAGTTTACGAGAACAAATTACTGAAGAAGTAGGATTCGAATGCTCTTGCTCGTGTTGCTATTGATGGACATCATCACAAAATATTATACTTGATGATATTAGTTGAAAGATAATTACTATCTGTGCACTTATGTTTTTTTTTTAGAAACAGACTTTTGAAATCTCAATTTACCAATTTTACAATTATTTTTTACTACTGTGAACTGTAAGACTATTATAATAACGATAATAGTGCATACGAATAATATGAAGAATTTTCTGAAACACATCAAATTTGAATAATAAACAATGCATCCATTTAAAAATTAAAATTTAACTGAGCCAATTTTGTTGTTAAAGAATAAGAAGATTGTCTTGTGTTTCTTACTAAGACGCCTACGAACCAATTCAATAAATAAACAATTTTCAATTAGATGAAAACAAGAATTTTTAATTGATGAGTAGCATCGAATGAGCATTACGAAAGCAGTAACAATTCATTTGACTACACGTCAAAAAAAGGCTGCCAGTCGTATGTTATTACCATTTGTTCGCATTGTCACTCTCATGTTAATAAGATTCACAACATATTTTCAATCGGTTATTCTTGATTTTCTTTTTGTTTATCTTAGTAAATTAATCAGCATCCATTATAACATTCTATAAATATTTTAAACTTGTAGAGTTCCTTGAATCTCATCATTACTTTGATTCCATAAATTTATTGAGTTTTAATATTTCTTAGACTATTTTAGATTCTTTGAGTCTCGAGAATTATTTGAATACTGAGATTTCTTCGAGATCTAATATAGTAAAACCTTCCATAGTGGACACATCCGTACAATGGACACTTTTCACAGTCTCACAGAGTGATTTGGTTGGAATTGAACCTCTGTATAGTAGACACTACGTTTAGGAGCTTGGAGAGAGTGGTTCGAATAATTGATCAGCAATTATTGATTGTTGCATTCGTCAATATCGGTTCTTTCATTCCTGTTTTCAATTGGCGGTATGCTAATCAACAGCTGAAAGAGTTAGTTGAGATTGATGAAGACAAAGGACGACCCCATCTGTTTAATAGAAAGCTCGCTAATTTTGTCTGAATCATTAGAAATCATAGGAGAGCTTCATCTCTTTGTAAGTAGCTTAAAGAGGAACAAAATTGTAATTTTTCGGTTCCAATTCCGACCGACAGTCTCGTAAAGCATTAAATAGTTTCTTAGAAAAAATTCAGAAATTCTGGAAGACTTTAAAAATATCACAGGCGCAAGTTACACGAGACTCATCAAGCTATTGTATATATCTACATAAGAGAAACGTTTTTTTAGACGCGAAAGTTTAGTTTTTTCTTTAGAAAATGACGGTGTTTACGAGACTAAAGCTTTCTGAGGTCGCTCCCGGTTTTGTACAATTCCTGAAAATTGGTCCAACCTTGATTCTATACATTTGTAGTGTAGCTTCCTAAATGAGACCTTTTCTATACTATTTGGCTTGGTTTTCAGTATCATTTGAACAATAATCCTTTTGTATTCACTCAACACTCTCAAGTGAAATTCTTGTGTCGGATCTTCAGTCAAAATTAACTAACATCTTTCAAAAAATAGCTCTATCAAAGATTATTCAAAAGTCCGAAGGGTGTCTATTATAGAGAGATTTTACTATAGATTAAAAAAAATGAATAGAAATTATCAAGCAACAGAATCAGCTATTTAAATCATTTTAAAATCTGTCAATCTTCTTTTGAATGAATTTTTCAATCGTAAATCTCACTCGACTTTCAAAGAAACATATGCAACATACAACCCTACTCTCACATCAAGATTCTGTGTCCAACAGCACGAGAGAGGGAGAGAGAAAGACAATAGTTTTTTATGTTTCCAGTGTAGGATTTCTTAATAATAAATAAAATTGAATTTTCATTGTATTGAAATGCTTGATTTAAGATATTTTAATTGTTTGATTAGCTTTTGCCTACAAATAACAGAATGTTTTTTTTATGTTAATGAAATATTTTCACGTAAATTTTAATAGTGATCTGTCGAAATTTCATTCATACCAATCATGACAATATTGTTGAGGACAGTCAACTTTTCAGTTTTGTTTGTCGATGTTCTGCGATCTCTAATTTCAAGAATTACATAGCATACCATGGCCATACTCAGATAGACAATTTGTAAAATTATTGATATACGAACACGTAATACAGATGCATATGCATAAACGACAACAAAAGCAACATTTTGAACTAATGTACATATTGAGAATGCCGTATCTTTAGTATCAGTGAATAGATGACTGTAAAAAGCTAAATGAAGAACAATATCAGCTACTTCTTTTTCGTATCAATGAAAAGGAATATGCAGATGATTATGAGTCGTCCTATTAAATTATGTTGCTATCTATAGTAACAGTCTCATCATATTTCACATTTTAATTCCAGAGAAATTGTGTCAAAAGATTTTATTTTTGAGACTTTATCATCATATATATATATAGAGATTCACTTTCGTATATACCTGGAATAGGTCTATTCTGACTATGAAAGATCTTCCTAATGATAAGAATAGTTTGAGCTCACATTTTAGTCAGTAATAAGAGATCTATCGACTAGAACAGGCTTCAGTGGGTACTTTTCCTTATTGAAATAGGAAGAAAATAGCGTGATTTTAGTCAATTGTTCATCTCTATAACCCCCAAATTATCATAGTGAATAATTAGTCGATGTTTTTTATTTCTTGTAGCAAAAGAATTTAATTATTGACAACAAATTGACTTTAGATGAAGTGTTCTGACTTTTTTTTCTTTTCATTTTAAAATTGACATTTTAAAAACGAACCTGTAATAAATGGTTCCGTGATTGAATATGAAATGCCTGATATACACGGAAGGATATAAAGTACATATATTTGAGATGGTTTTGGTTTCCATACAAGCATAATTATTAATATAGTATAATTAAGGACAATTGCAAACAGAAAGGAGATCGGACGAGTATATTTCAGTTTGACTACATAAGCAATAATCATATAAAAGATACTTGCAATAATGCCA